AGGTTTGCCTTCTCGAATCTCTTTCCTCTTCGCTCAACACGTGTCCCACTCCCACGTCCCTTCCACATGAGCATGAGCAAGCTGATCCCTCGAGCACGCTCTCCCTGGCGACGTGCAGAATCGCAAGTCTCTGTGTGTTGTATATTGTCATGTTGGCGTTGGCACCACTGCCTGTCAGAAGTTATAAAGTGTTCTGCACTAGATGAAATAAACCAGTCTTCATGGAACTGTACCTAGTGGTCTGTCTTCCTCGCTCCTCGCCGTCAGACACATCAAGCTAGTCGCTCCACCGGCCTAAGGGCTTTAACCAGTACGACCAATAACTATCACCCCAAGATACAACAGACCAATAACTATCACCCCAAGATACAACACTGTGAAGCCGATAGTGGGAAATTTCACTTTTTGGACTTTTCTTCCATAAGAGCCCCATGTTAAACTTGAAGGCCCATTGGGACCTTTTCCCCTGGTCCGAAAAATCGAAAAAAAATATATTTTTGTTCATCATTTTGGAATTAGAACACTTTAAGAACGAGCCTGCTCAAAATCCGAACTCTTTGGGCAAAGTGAACGTCTCTAGGGCATGGGCCCAGGCAGGAGGGGCCGGATGGTCGCTAGCAGGCATCAGAGGAAAAGCAGGGATAGAGGTGTGCGAATCACCCTTTTTCAGAGTCGTATCGAATCGAATATAAAATTTTACCTCGAATCGAATCGAAGCTTATCTCACTATTTCGGATGCGAATCGAATCGTTTAATAACATTCTCGGAGTTCATACGTGACTAGCTACTTCGCGCCAATCTTCGAGTGGGCGGCGGAGCTCACCTACCCCGACCCAGAGGGGAACACGACCCCCCTGCTCGAGTAACTGGCTCGTGCAGGTAAAGTAAAGAGATGACAAGAAAACGGACGCATTTTGGACGCCGTGGTAGTGTTGCCTCAGCAGGACTTACTCAAGAGGATGACTTCACCACGACATCTATTTCCAATTAAGGCTGCTGCTGACGCAAGAAAAGAAACCCCACCCAGAAGAGTCACGGCGCGAGTGGCGGTCGCTGGCAGGCGGGCCGTGCCGCTCCACAGCGCTGCTGTGCGGGCCGGCCTACCCGCCCGGCGCCGGCCGCTCAGTGAGCTGAGGGGTTGCACCCACCACGCACAGAGAAACGTCCCGCATTCAGAGCACGACATCCATCTTTGTCACGCCTTGGTACCCCGTACAAATAAAACAGTTGGAAATGAGTACAATAATAATACCGATAGGTTTTACTTATTTTATTTTTGATAATGACTTATTAAATGTGTTAAAAGAAAATGTATTTATCGTATGACGCAGTACATAAAGGAATGATTTGAATTCACGGCGGCGCTCCCTGTACCTGGCTGGTGGACTTCAGTGTGGTCCGCCAGCACGAGGCTCGGCCCGTTCGGCAGCAGTGTTGCAAACCGAGTCGAAAAGTCACCACGAAACACACCCGTAGAGTGGGCTGCACCCGTGGCCGCCCGCCATAGGTTAACGTCAGCGCGCTTGCTGTGCCTTGTCCCGCCGTGCATGCGGGTCGCGAGGAGTGTTGTCTGCGCTGGGAAACCGAACACGCCCCGGTGTACCTGCCGGCCCTGCTGTTTGGGGTCCTCTCGCTGCCACAGGGTGGCGGGGGCACGCCCGCTGATAGCCGCCCCTAGACCTCTTCATACTCCACACGGACACACAAGGTGCACAGCACCTCGACCCCGGGCAGCACCCGCCGCACCTCGGCGCGCTGCTGCGTGCAGGCGGCTAGCTCGTGGCTCCCCAACCTCCGCAGCACGAGCCTCCTGAGCGCCCGCAGCCCGCTCTGCTGCAGCAGCGAGTGCAGGTCGCCGCAGCTCCATGGCCACTCATGACTCCCCGCCGTGCCCACCCACAGCACCAGCTCCTCCAGCGTGCCGCCGTGTGCCCGCAGCAGGGACTGTGTCGTGGCGCGGGGGAGGCCATCCACCCTGAGCCACTGCAGGCTGGCGTGTCCCGGCGGCAGCGTGGGCAGCTCGGGTGGCTGAGCGTCCAGGGCATTATCACCCTCCACGTGCAGCCTCCTCAGCCGCGGCATGGCGTGCACTGCGCGCAGGTGGGCCTCGCGGGGGTAGTTCACACGCAGCCGCTCCAGCGTGGGCGCGGCGCGCTGCAGCAGCTCGAGGCTCCAGGCGGAGTTCCTGTGGCAGCACACATCGACCAGCCGGGTCACCTGCGGCAGAACAGAGTCACTCTCGGGCGGCCAGTAACGTGCAGAACTGCCTGCACTATACCGGGCCGCTACCCGCAGCCTCGTGCGGGCCGTGAGGCTCGAGGTCAGGCGCACACTTACCCCTGGCGCGTCCCGCAGCACGGCTGCCTCCTCCTGCTGCTTGTAGTCGGGTCCACTCCAGCTGATACTGCTCACATCCATCTCCCGCGGGGGCAGCGCCTCGGCAGGTGGTGGGTCCCGGGCGGCGAGGGGGTCTGCAGCAGGCGTGGGTCCAGGGGCAGGAGGTGAGTGAGCAGCTGCAGGTGGTAATGGTGTAGCTGCAGGTGGTGGGTCCCGCGCAGCAGCTCGGTCCTGCACAACCACACTGGGTGTAGTACACGGAGGCACACAGCAGGTCTCACAACATTACATGCTGACGATATAGTCAAGCTGTGCGCATGGATGCATGGATTGATTATTGCATAAGGTTCAGATACTAGCTAAAATTAGGACTTTGTTGCCGGAAAACGGAATGTATAAATTTGAAAAACACATTAAAATATTGTGTGTGGTAGCCGGACACACCTGCGACAGGACAGGTATCTTAACTAAAATAGGGATAGGGATGGACATATCTTGCAACAAACCCAAGACTGCAACAGCAATTGTTTCCGTAGAATAGCGCACCTAGAGTTGTTCCAGGAGAGCGTATCCGGTTGTCCGAGAGCGATCAAGCAGGAGAAAGTTAACTCGCGAGGTAAAACATTGCAAAACACCGCATCGCCTACCTCAGTGAGCGCGACCCTCGCCGCCAGCAGGAGGCACAGGGCCTTGGTGAGGGGCTCCTCGGAGGTCCGCAGGGTCCCCGTCAGCTCCCGGCCGCCGCCCCGCAGCGTCACGTCCCAGGACTCGCCCGTCAGCAGGGTAAGGGCGGGCAGGGCCTGCTCCACCCGGAACTGGTCCTGGAGACCCTTGAGATGTTCGGCGGCCTGCGGCAGCGCGTCCTGCAGCTGGCGCCGCAGGGCTCTCTTGACGGACAGGACGTCGTGGTCCTCCCAGCAGCGGGGCGACGGGGCGGTGCGGCAGTCCGAGCACCAGCAGCGGGGAGTGCTGTGGGACACAAGTCAAGCCAT